TTTTTTTTTTGACAGACGAGTTTGGAAAACGAAAACGGGCAAAATATAAGAAAGGGATATTTACGGGACACAGCAAAGGACTTAAATACAATTGACGATAAAAATTATAAACTTTACTAAGAAATATATGAAAAAAATCGTAAAATTTCTTTATTCTGCTTAGAACAGAAAAATCAAACATTCGCATTTGAAAATGGTTGCCCGAAAAATGTTTCATGAGCTTTTTGCTCCGAGTTGCTCTAAATTGCTCTATTGTTTTTTTTTTTTTTTTAGCAGTTGCTCCATTCTGCGCTTACATGAGCTAATCTACTTTATTTTCAATCTCAATAAAAAAAACGTATTATATTTTTATTTGTTTTTGCGGCCATGCTATATATTATATGTTTTTGAATTTTTTTCATTCTTTTTATTTTTTTATTTTTTTTTTATATATTTTTTAATTAAAAAATTTTTTTTATTTATTTTTTATATTTTTTCCAATCAAAATTTTTTTTTTATTTATTTTTTATATTTCTTTCAATATAAATTTTTTTTTTTATTTATATTTTATATTTTTTTTCAATTTATATTTTTTTTATTTATTTTTTATATTTATTTTCAATTTTTTTATTTTTTGAATGTTTTACAAAGTCAGCGGAAATTCAATTTTTAGTTTCGAACAAGAAAGCTGAAAGCTCTTAGTAAACTAAAGCCTTTCGCTGCGTGGGTAAAAAAGCTCAGCAGCATTTTATTTTCTATTTAATCTGAATTTCGTGCCGAAAATTATAAAACATAGAAAAAACAATAGGAAAACAATTATCGGTTAAAAATTTTTTTTTTAATTATCTTTTTTTTTTAATTTTACAAAAAGTCAAAGCAAACACTTTTGATTTGCATAACAATTTAATCTACTAACGGTAAAGCACACAATTTATTATAAACACCCAAAAGAACCAAAAAAAAAAATATATACTTCTAATAAACACTTTTAGACACGCAACAAAGAGACTCTATTTATGTGCCCATCAATTCCAAGAGCTCGAAGATCACGTGCCAAAATATAAAATGGAATGAAATTAGAGCTGAAATATGATACAATAAAATGCTAAGCGAGAAAAAAATTGATATGGAAGTAAAACACAAAAATTATATAGAAATAAAAACAACAACAAACTACAAACAAAAGCTGCGTTGTAAGAAAACAAAAATAATACAATTTAACTGTAAGAATAGACGAAAAATGCGAAAACCAAATACACAGTAGGTAAATATGTATAAATATTAAATAAAAACAATAACAAAAATCAACTTGCACAAACGTGACTTCAAAGGTGTTTAGAAATATCTAACAACATGTTGGGCACGGGGGAGTTGTGGAAAGTGGAAAGTGTATGGAAAAATTATATGCAATATTTGTAACTCTTTTATTAGAAAGGTTATTTATTGCAGGAATACTAACGAATTATTTGTTTATGTGAAATACAAAACTAATATTTGTTCAATCACTTTGATTTGATGGAGGTATGGAAAGAGTAAGACCCTACATCGGACACAGCCTACAGCATATCAGGAGCTAAAAGCTTAAAAAAATCCTAAAGTTTTCGCCGCGAAGCACAAGCTTATTACTTTACTGTTCAAACATTTTGCTAAAGCGTCTTCCTATGGTGACCTAGAGGGCGGACCGTAGACAAGCAGTCCATTTTATATTAAAACCTTTGTCGGTCAAAAAGGAATCCATAATTTTTGTATTTACCATACTTACAACTATTTGAATTACGCAAAATATTCACTCGCTAACTTTTTGAAATTTATTTTTTATAACTTGGTATTTTCAATTTTTCATTTTTTATGTTATTGAATTTTTTAATTTTCATTTTCAAACACACAAGAAGTTATAAATAAATTTTATTAAAATATAAAATTTTTTCTTGGTTTATATCTAATATATGTATATACATATATATATTAATTTGTGTATCTATACCAATATGCCTCTCTCATCCGGGAAGTGAATCAAGGACTGATCTATTCGAAACAATCGTATTTGTCGAAAATGTCGATAGAATAATGGAAAGGGTCGAATGTGACTTTCACGCGGCCACTGTTGTTTCTATTGTCCAAGAGCTAAACAATGCATAAAAAAAATCTTTGGAACCACTTAAAAAAGGCCAAATACAAGAAGAATTTCGATATTTGGATGAATATCTGCAAGTCGATGCAGAATCGGAACAAAATCGACTCATTGCTGAAACGGGAATTGTCCTTTAGAGTACTCATTATAAAATGGATTATCCTAATTTTTTGCCAATAGAGAAAACGTTTTCTATGAGAGAGGGATGATGATTGATTACCATCATTCATATTACAATATGGAATTCCATTCTGTGGTATGACCTTAACGCCATCTTTCCACGCTCATAGAATTTCTGTCGTTTATCTGCGAAAAACTGAACCAAATCACACTTGGTATAGCCTCGTCATTTTCGAAAGTTTTACCATTTAAATAGTTCTGCAAACATCGAGTTCTGACATCTGACGGTGCAAGGTCAGAGCTATATGGTGGCTGCATCTACAGTTCCTAGTCGAGCTCTTTCAGTTTTTGGCGAATGACAAAAGATGTGTATGACGCCTTTAAGATTGACTAATTCTGGCCATTTCTGGTTGATGGCTGTATACAATTTGTCCAGTTGTTCACAGTAGACATCCGAATTAATCGTTTGGATCCTTCCTTCCAAGCACACCAAGCTGACAGCACAGCCTTCTTTTGATGAATATCAGCCTTTGAAGTGGTTTGTGACGCTTCATCTTGCTTGATCCAAGATCGCATTCTATTGTCGTTATTGTGAACAATCCACTTTTCATTTCCAGTTATGATTTTCTTCAGAAACGGATCATATTCATTGAGTTTAATATGCATATCACAAGCGTTGAAGCCGCTTGTTAAATTAAGTTCTTTCAACTCATGTGGTACCCAAATATCGAGTGGTTTTTACCAGTCCAAGACATGGTATATGAAATGAGTGGTTGGATTTGGTATACTCAACTTCAATTAAATCCATGACATCGTCATCATCAGCTTCACTTCGCAGAGCCAAACGTGGCTTCGATATATTTATGAAGGTACCATCAAATCAAAATCACTGAATAATCTTGTGTCCCAATTTGAAAATTGTTATTTTAAGAAAAACGCGCCTAAAGCCTCATTGTACTCAGCACAATCTTTGAGGGGCTGCAGCGAAAGAAAAAGTTCAGCTTTTTGAATTTTTTTTCACTATAAAGCCAATTGCATATCATTTCTAGGACCCAAAGGAACTCTGTGAGCAAAAAAAATTGCGTTTTCCAAAATCCTAAGTGACTTTACCCCTTAAAACACATGGAAACTATACAGAATTTCATGGAAAAATCAACTTAACAGTTGAAGCCCATTTCCACTTCGGTCAATAAGCCAAACTATCGCATCTGGGTCTTGGAAAAGTCATGATATATAATATTTTTGAAAAGTTTTTTCATCCTCAACGTGTAATTGTTTGGTGTGGTTTGTGGTCCGTCGTGGTCATTGGATCTTACTTTTTTGAGAATAAAGTTGGAACAACAGTGACGATGAATGGATTGCGCTATCGGGAGATGATTAATGACTCTTTATGGCATTAATTGTATGTCAATGATCTGAACTATTGTTCAGTGTTGTGTTACACAAGCAAGGAAAGCATCGATATTTTAACGTAACAGTTGCCGGACCGCATTATCTCTCGAAGAAGTGAACGCAATTGGCCACATGAGAGATAAGGTCTACGCCAACGCGTTTCAAGCACACTAAGATGGAATTCGTGAAACTATTGAGGCCAAACAATAGCCACTTTGCGAATTGGTAATGGCAAATATCATAAGAAGGACATGGTGCGGCCCAGGCGGTGGCCAAGACCGGATTGACGATCAGGAAGGTTTTGCTGTGTGTTTGGTGGGATTGACAAGGAATCATCTACTAGGAGCTACTCCTTTATCGACAAACGCTTAATTTATCCCTTTAAAGCCAACAAATGGACCGCTTAAAGGCAGCACTCATCCAGAAGAGGCCATCTTTGATCAATAGATGACGAATTGTGTTCCATCACCACAACGCCAAGCCACACACGTCTTTGGTGACGCGCCAGAAGCTACTGAAGCTCGGGTGGGATGTTATAATGCACCCACCTTATAGTCGGAATCTGGCACCAAGTGATTGCCATCTTTTCCTGTCCATTGCGAACACGCTTAATGGGGAGAAGTTGGCCTCAAGAGAGGCCTGTGAAAATTGGCTCACCGAAGGACGCAGCTTTCTACGAGAGGGGTATAATGAAGTTGGCATCTCGTTGGTTTATGAACAAAACAGCGCATATCATATTTTGGAAAATCAATAAAAAAAAAAAAACCGAACAAACTTTTTACTTGACCTAATATTTGGCTGTCTTTAATGGTATCACGCTGGATAACATGACTTATAAAAAGTGCTTGGCAAATAACCTAAATTATTTGAAAATCAAATGTCAACCTCTTTTACCATGTGTTGCTTTCCATGGCGAGTGATTTAGCTGGTGTACAATTGACCCGAGGAGAAAACCAAATGATGCAATTTTTTGCCTAAACCGACAAGGGTTACCGTGAGAGAGGTACAATAAAATTACCTTCAAAGTTGCAAAATGTTATAAGGAAAAACTGTGCATATTTGACATGAATCGTATAATTCCGACTGTGATAAATGGTCTAGTAAAAGGTCAACCATTATTTTTTTCATTACATTGTAGGCTTCAAATTAAAATAAATTAATTAATTATTTAAATTTAAATCTTATTTTTCTTTGTACTTAAAAAGATATGGACCTGTTATTATCATAAATATTTTTCTATCGCATGACATTGTTCAAAATATTATGCTATCCTTTCCACAAATAATACGTACATAAATGGTGAATTGATCGTTATTTTTAGTTTCGGATTTTAATAAACTTATTATTTAGTTGAAAAAAGCAAGCAAAGTAAACATACTCATCGGTTAAACGTAGCTCGAAATTGTTATTGTACTGTGTGGTCATCTTTAACGGTTGTATTTTACGTATATGGAAATTTCGCTGCCAATATTGAAACTTTTGTCAAATAATAAATGCAAGTCTCATGGTATCTGATGGCGTGTCTGCAGTGTTTTTGCCGGAGAATTGTTGTGATTTCTTTTCTCTTTTTTTTTGGAAAATAATTTAAGCACAATAATTATTATAAAAAGTATGAAAATTTAAATGTTTTAATTTTCGCAAATAAGCACACATAGAATATCAAAGTTTATATTATATATATGTATATATATATATATATATATATATATATTCTTATATAATATTTAGTGCAATTTAATTTTCTTTAGTTCATTTAAACCTCGCAAGTTTTCATTAAAGCCAAAGCAAGGCAATGCTTTTCATAAAAGAACGCTTAGTTAAAAACAAAAGTTCTAAATACACAAACTTTTTTCTTACGAATTCAGTTTAAAATTAATTTTTTTGCTAAAAAAAAAAAAGTAATTTAAAATTTTTTACATATTTTTGTTAATTTACGCACAAAAATAAAAAGAAGTTTTCGTTTTCTGCCTTCCACAGGATATTCTCTATTAATCACTTGTACACTTGTATACGCCGCAACACAATTTTCACCGTCACGTTTGCGAGCGTTTACAATTTCAACTAAACTTTCCAGTTGCAGCAACAAAGCAATCCTCTTTCCGCTGGCGCTTGGCCCGCCTGCAGCGCACAATGTAAACTATGCAGCGACGCGAGACGACGCGTCAAATTGCTGAATTTGTTGAATTACAATAGCCGCGGCACGTATTGGTATTTTGTGCAATTTTTGTTATTTTATTTTTTAATTTTTTTTTTTTAGTTTTTGCGGCTGGCGTTCTCCATTTCCTAAGCGCTGAATAAAATTCCAATTTTTTTTTTCGTAAAGTTTTATTTGCGAAAATTTTTATTTATTTTTTCGCCGGTATTTCGCTGGTATTTTGTTGTTGTGTAGTGAAACTCTATTCCTTGTTGGTAGTTTTTTTTGTGCGCTCACGCTGTAAAAATATCACTTTGACACTCTCTATGCAATTTTTTTTTATCCGTCTCCACAGTTCGCACGTATCTGTCACTTTAACTGCTCCGGCCGAACTAACAGTCAAGCTGAGCCGTGTCCCTCATTTTGTATACACATTTATTTTCCCTGCCTTATTTTTGTTGTTGTTCATTTTATTTTAATTTTTTTTTTCTTTCAATTTCTTTCTTCTCTTCAACGGTTTTATTTTCATTGTCCGTCGCCCTTTTCGTAATTTGAGTACACATTTAACGGGTACGGAACGCTTAAAGCGCGCTCGCATGCTGCATACTCATACTCATACACGGCGTTAGGTCAGATCCGCACCGGCTCACGCTCACAGTCAGTTTAGATGCTCACAAGTGCGATAAAGCACAGCGTTCAAGTGTCAAAAGCGCTAAAGTGACTGTCGTGACTCTCAACGAGGCTGCCGCCGCTTAAGAACACACACTCGCCTCTTGAAAATAGAAGCATAAAAAGAAATGTTGCATGTCAAACGCGGCTGAATTAGCCAACCATCGCCATGTTGCCGCTGATCGTGCTGGCTAGTCCCACGCGTGTCACACTTTCGTCCTCCTGCACACTTTATCTTCGTCACCTTTATCAGCAGGCTGGCCGCCAGCGATCGTTCGAAATTGTCACTTCCAACCTCTGATTTTCGCCTTTATTGCTTATGATGATTACTTTTCATTGCATTTCATGATTGTCGCTGATTTTATATTTATTTCATTGTTTCTTTTTTTCTCTCCTTCGCTCGTTCTTTTGCTGGTTTGTTTGTTTGTTTGTTTGCGCGCATGTTGGTTTCATAGTCATTGTATGTTTACCGTTTATTTTTATTGCTGTCATATTTTTGTCATAATTTTATGCACTCTCTTCTATTGTTATTATTGTTGTTGTTGTGGTTTGTACTCGGTGTCATATTTAGCGTCTTGCTTCAATTACGAATGGCTTGTCGGGGCTCGCTTGTCGCCTGCCAACCAATATGTATGCAATGCAAAGATTAATTCGTAAGTATGTACGAGTATATTCTTTGCTTGGGTCTTAAGCCTCGATCTTGCGGCTGTGCAACCAGCAGCCTGAATTGTTATTCTATTATTGCTTTTCTTTGCCATTCATCTTTAGTAAGACTTTTCACTGTTTTTTGTTGTGAAGGGTATTTCTTGGTCCTTTTGATAACTGTTACCTGGTCGGTTTCGCTTCTCGTTACTCTAGTCAATCGTGCGCATCCTCATAGACGCCGAAGACGCTCTTGTAGCTTTAGAGTAGAGTATCAAAGAAGACACGAAGAACAATTGGAGCTGTGCCGATAATTGTGCCAAAATTCTAGTCGTGCAAAGATTGAAGCCGAACGTTAATTAGGCTCAAAACGAAATGGTAACCGATTTCGGTTTTCAAAAACAGTTTTGCTCAGGGACAAAACTCACTTTTGGGTCACGTTTATTATTAAAATTGTCGTATTTCGAGTGACGATAATCCACAAACTATTGTTGAGACGTCGTAACATCCTTAAAAAGTCACTCTTTGATGTGCTCCATGAGCAGAGGGCATCAATGATACATATTTCTTATTTCTTTAAAAATGAAGCCAGTTCTATGGTTAAAGTCAATGGGAAATGCTACAGAGCCATGTTGAATGATATTTTCGTGCTTGAAGTGGAGAATGTTGACTTGGCCGACCAAGAAGAGCAGATCAGGATACATGTTATACAGCCAAAAAAGCAATAAATAATAATGATTCCGGGAAGATCTGCCGCGTGATTGCCGACATATGACAACAATTGATTAAAAAAAGTGGTCGAAAATTAGGTCACACGACTTTGTTTCATTCGTGCCAGTCACGGCAGTTGGTTGAAGTTGATGCTGGACATCATTTAGACCCAAAGCGGAACCATTGTGATACCACTGAGGATCCTAGTAACAACTATACGCTAATCAAAGCAGTGGATTGGAGTTTGCAAATATGAGCAGTCGCCGCATCTTGGCCCCCGCTATCTCACTGAGGTCTCTAAAAGTTGCCCCCTCAAGAGACTTCAACCTACTACTTTAAAGTGTGGGGCAATCCCATAATAAAATAATTTTCAAAACATAATGGCAAACACGTATCTTTATTATAAAGGCGAATTCAATAACAATATATTATTTGCGGTTTATTTAGTCTTGAACACCCTTTATGTGCAAATCCCTCGTTGCTTTGAAAGGGGTTTCTGTTATCGATTGCATTGACTCAATCTAAATAGTTTAAGATGTAGCTCCTTAGTTTTTACTCAATAGATAAAAAAAAGTTCTGAAAAGAGTCCTTTAAGTTTATAAAGAAACCTCGAGTGTTCGGAAAAAACGACGTTGCTTTATCGAAGGATCATGAAAGAACTTATGTAATCTGTGTGTAAAAAATCAATTTTTGTGGAGTTATTATTGAAATTGGTCTTTAAAATATTAAATTGAACAGAAGTTGGTGTGTAGGAAGCACTTTAGTAGCGAGATCTCCAGAATTTCCGAGCCGTAAGTGATTATTTCCTACTATGAACCACTCGAACACGATTCACATGTAACAAGAGCTGTAGGTATCTCTGTCATTTCATTTGATTTTCTTTTGATTTGTCCATCACGTCAGACTTAATTTCTACGAGTATACCGAATAGTTAAGCGGTGACACCTACTCAATTAGAGAATCGGACCTCATCTTAAGTCGTTTATAGTATTCACCAGCTGCTCTTACCCAAGACTTGCAGATAGTTTTTTTTTGACAGCTGATTGTTGTTGAAGTGTTTGGCATCATGTAGAGTTTGGACTAAAACGAATTACGTTGTCTCATAAAACATTATTTTTTTACACCGTCAAATATTGGTTTCGTGGTAGTCGCAACTCCACTACCGATCAAGTCCGCAGCGGCAGGCTCTCCGATGCGTTTACAGAGGACACTTTCAAAAAAATACCTGAAATGGTGTTGACTGACCGGAAAGTGAAGATGCGCGAGCTAGCAGATGCTACAGATTAGTACTGAGCCCACACGCCATATTTTTGGCAAGATTCTGCATATGAAAAAGTTATCCTGCCGCTGGGTGCTCTCTCCGAATCAAAAATACGAACACGAGAGCGCCCCGAAAGAAAAGATCAAGAAGTTGGAAAATCGCTGGAATAAGTGAATGGAGCTAAAATCGGATAACATTTAATAAAAATAAAAAAAAAAACAGTTTAAAAACAATTTCTTTCATTCCCAAGGAGATTAGATTAGTATATGGCTGCCTTGAAAACACGATGAAAACGATTGTAAGAGTTGTTTTCAAATGAAACCTATCTTTTAAGCTCTATTTCCAGCTACCCTGATTTCTATAGAAGAACAGAGGAGAGATGCCAATTATTTGCTAACATTACGACTTAATTTAAATCTGGTTAAACTTACCCGAAGTGCTATCGGAAAACCTCATCGGAAATATATTCTCTCAAAAAGGAGAGCTAAGAGTTCCTTTTAGAAATACTGCGGAAATTCTCTCCCACTCAGCACGTCCTCTGACTTACTTTGAAAAGGCATTAACTTGACTATGAATCTGCTCTTATATATTTTTTAAATCCAAGCTTCACATATTTCGCCACCACTGTAGTTGTGTTAGCTTTATAATAGCACTCAAAAATGCATGAGTAACATACTCATAAAAAGTTGCGTTGAGCACATAATAAAATCGTACTAAAAAGCAAGCCCACACAACATTAAAAGGCAAACTTGTGTGTCACATTGAAAAATAACATTTGTGTATACATAAATACATTAAATATAGTATGAGCAGCAGCAGTAAAAAAGGTCTCACTCACTTAACCGTTGATTAATGACAAGCAAAGCCAAAGCGACTTTTATTGACAATTTAAAAAGTCAAGTTAATATATGAATGTTGATGAGAAAAGCTTAAAAATACTATGACAAAAGCTTCACTCATACGAAGAGAGCTTGGCTGAGCTAAAAAAGCTCGGCTTGAAATACTTAACGAAAAAAAATCTGTAAAGTACAATAAGTGAGGTATTTTTGTATGTTGTTCGTAAATATTTACATACGTGTATACAGTTAAAAATACTTTCATATTTTCAGGAAAGTCTATTTATTTATTTATTTGGGTTTGCCAGTAACAATAAATGCTTCTTTCTATGCCTCGGCAGTGAAGCATTCATTTTTCCTTTTGCTTTGATCTCTTTCAAATACACTCACATAAATTATGCAGCGGGAGGAGGAGGAGGAGAAGGGAATCACAGTCGTTTGCTCATCCTTTTTGTTATGATTCGCCAATCTTTCGAAAGCGTGCTTGAAGAGTGCTTATGCTATCAAATGCTTGATAATATGACAGCAATGTGGAAATATCCTTGACATTCCGTAGGGTACTTGTAATTCAATAGATAACATTTTTGACAGTATTTTATTCACCTTCTTAAGTTTTTTTATTTTCATTTTATTTTTATATTTCCATTATTTATTATTTTCTTTTTTTATAAATTTTGTTGGCAAATTTTTTCAGTTATTTTTATTCTTTATTTTTAGTTGGTATACCATACTAAGTATGTAAGTACCAGAAGGAGAGGAGATGGAACAAAATGTATACCGATCGGGTTAGAATTACCATCCAGTTGTACTTTGTTGTAAACGCCTTCATATTTTTCCAACAAAAGGGGGGCCTACAGTTTATACAAAGCCGTATCCGAGTGGCCGAAAATTTTTTATTTTATGTCAGAAATAAACACGACGGGCTTGACATTCTCTGCGAGGGACGACCGACTTTTTTGGGCCTGCAATTGAAGAACGTGACATAAATGATTTCAATAAGATGGTGCCACACTTTATATATAATATGAAAGAAATTTCACGTCAACGTAGGCTTTCCTCTTGGTAATGTCAATTGTTGGACTTTGTTTGTGAAACTACGGAAAAGACCATATTTGGGCGGATAAATCTTCAACTCTTGAGCACTTGAAAACCAACATTCATCTATTTATGGCTGAGATATCGCCCAAGATGTGCAAAGAAGTGGCCGAAAATTACCTCAAACGGATCGAAGTTTGCAAGAATTCGCGGGGCGATCATTCGAATGATGTATTGTTTCACATATAAAACGATGATTCAAACTTTACATGAAAAAAGGTATTT